CCTGAACGGACTGCCCAGCCGCCTCCCCGCGCTGCGCTGCGCTGCGCCGCGCTCGAGGGCCCGGGCGCCCTGGTGCCCTTTCTCGTTCCTGGAGTTGATGGGTAGCAGCGCAGGGATCTGTTTTACGCAGTTTTCCCTCAGGTATTTTCTCAGCGAGTCCCGAGTTCCTCCGACTCTGCCAGATGATATTGGCAACGCTCGCCTTGCACAGCCTCCTTCCCACTAAAAACTTGCATATTGAAAACGCGGAAAACACAGCAAAGAATAATTTCGCACTACTGTCCTGGCACTATCGCACTGGTGAGAGGTGACCACACGGACCAGGCACGTCGCTGGCATCTGGGGTCCTTTGGTGTTGGCTGAGGAAGTAGCTAGGAACAATACGGTGCCCGGGCACAGCCGTAAGTGTGATTTTTTTTTTTTGTTGAAGCTTTTTGGGGGGTTAGAAAAGCCCCGTTAAGCTGTATTGTGATGTAGCTTCCTGTCTGTAGCTGACTTGTGTTGTGTACGGATTCACATGCTTACAAGAATCAGAGATGCTCATTTTTATATGTTAGAAGATGACCCTGATAGGCATGGATTTTACTGTAAGATTTAAAAGTTGCGGCTCTTCGGAGCATAGGCTGTATGTATAGTGTCAGTGAGGGAGAGCGACTGGTAAACCCTAATGGTCTCGTAAGGGAAAATCAGAGATGTAGTCGCTAAATCCATTTTGTGTATTAATGATGCTCACCATTTGATGAAAAACCTATCCCTAGTTTATCCCGAGAAGATTTCATTTTGCCAGATGACTGGCTTCTCATCAATTCCTCTCGTGTCCCCGGGATTTTCTCTTTTCCGGGAGTAGGCCACAGGAGCTCTCGGTGCTGGGGATAACCGTTAAGCTCTTCTTTGGAATTCATGAGCTCCCAAATTAAACTTTTGCTGACACCTGCTACCTAGCCTAGCTGCACACAACGGCGGCATCACCCGGGCTCCCGGACTTCTGCTGCTGAGCAAAGTAAATTAAAACCCAAAATAGGTGTGAAGTACCCAGGCCGGATTACGCAGCAGTCCGTGGCAGCTCTGTGAAACCGTGGCTGCTTCAAATCTAGTCCAAGTTTGGTTCTAACGGGGCAAACTTTTCAGCAGCGATCACAGATGAAAAATAAATCCATAGTGCAGACTGTGACAGAGATTAATAAACATCATCATCAATTAGCCGATAGAATCAAATAGAACAAAATGAGCATAAGCAATCACCCGGCTTCCCCCTCCTGCGGGAACGTAGCACCACCTTTATTTGTCTGGTGTCAAGGAAATTTTCTGAGCATTAGTTTCAAGTGCCAAAAAATTTAGCAAGTGTCATAATGTAAGGTCAAGACTTAATTATTTATATGGAGACATCAATCATCATGTGTGGATGATTTATTTATAAATCAGCAGAGCTGTAAAATGAAACAGTGAATTCTGATTTTCTTCTGCTAGTTACTGAACGGGAACATGAAAGGTCTGAGCTGCTGCTGAGTGACCTTTGCAATCTGTGGCTGTTGCTACACGTGCCCCATACGGAGGAGGGTTTTGATACGCCTCTTAAATCTTGTAACCAAAATGTCACTTGGGAAATTTCATGCATATTTGCTACATCTCAGTAATGAACATTTACTGATTACGGATTATCAGGAGAATTTAGCTTTTTAAACATTATTCAAATTTCTATGTTTATGTAAGCTAATAAGACTGAGGAGACTCAGTAACTACTTTTTGCCTTATGCTGTTTGAAAAGTACGTCTGTTGGGCCCTGCTGAGCAT